TGTGAAGGCAGTACTGGTGGACAGTCTGACAGTAAAGAACACTAAAGTGTGTCTGCTGCTGCTCCTTACTTTCAAGGTTCTGGACATTAGCTTTTTCCAAACATATCTTTAGCAAATAGCATATTTTTAAATCAGTCTATAATAAACAGTGATGTATTTTTATAATTACAAGTAATACACTTACATGTAGATTAGTAAATATGCTGTATAGTTTCAAACCTTTCTCCATCTCTGTCCTTATTTTGAACAAAAATTCCATGATTTTTGACCACTGTTATGGTTATCTGATTTCCTTATGAACGACTAATCTTAATAAATTACTTGAACGTTGTTTAGTGAAGAATTTTCTTTTTTTTTTAAATCCCATTTCATTGATAATTTGTATGTCATGAAGTTTTGTATTAAAAGGAGCTCTCGATGATCTTTAAGGTCTGTTCCAACCTGAGTGATTCTATGATTTTGTGATTCTATGAGCAGTTCTAAATCTTGGAGATAAAGATGAAAGTGAAATTCAGATATCTATTACATATTGATTTCAATAAGGTGAAAAGAAACTGACGGAAACAGTGCTATAATCATGGAAAGAAATTTGATCAAAGTACTTGATCTATCTGCAAAGGATAAACAGTAATAAAGGTCAAAAAGAACATCAAGGACAAAGCTTCAAGCATGAGTAAGCAAAATATAAGACACGTTGATTACAGTTCATTTAAGGTTTTTTTTTTCCCCTGTCTTCAAATGCTGTTTAATAGCTTATTATTTTACTTAAGAGCATTCCAAATTAGTGACAAAAGAGATTTTCAATGTGGTTATGCTTCCAGTCATTACATTTACCCTGGTTCAATTTTTCAGTTACTTTATCTTTACCACATATCAAGAACACTAAATATGAAATAGAACATTAACACACATATATGTATTTTTTCAACATGTGTCTTGATGATCTCAAAGCTTGTCATATGACTATCATAAACCAAGTTATATCACGAGTCATCATTGATTGTACACCTGGAATTCACTCTGAATTCTGCTGGAGTACAAGACTCACCAAATCTGTGAAATTATTTGATGTTTTGGAAGGAAATAACTAATGGTATATTTTTAACTGAAGTTTATTTATATGATTTAAACAGAATAAAGACCAATTTGTATAGTTTGTCTCTAAGAAAATAAGCATTTACTCAGATGTATAAATGGAAACATCCAAACTCTACTAGTTGCACAAGAACAGTGAGGGTGACGGAGCACTGGAACAGGCTGCCCAGGCCTGGATGCCTACCTGTGCGACCTGCTGTAGGGAACCTGCTTTGGCAAGGGGGTTGGACTCGATGATCTCTGGAGGTCCCTTGCAACCCCTACAATTCTGTGATTCTGTGAAATAATGATTTTTCCACTGAATTTAATCACCTGCATTAGTCCATAATCCTTTTTCTGTGGATGAGGCTAGTCTAAAAGTGATCTATTGTGAATTGTGTTCTTGTTGATGTACACCTACTTTTGGAAACATCATATACAAAGGTATTATCAGGAGGTGGAGACATTCCCTCCATCTTGCATATGTATTGTTGATTCGTTATTCCTTATATCATCAATTATAATTCCACTTTAAGAGAAAAGTACAGTTAAAATAGTTAGGGGAAACTACCTTCGTTTTTTATCCCAATCTAGCATCATTTCAGGAAGCTGATAACCCTTTGCCCAGGCTAGAGCAGGTGAAACGCAACAAATTTGAGAGCTAATGGAATTTCTAAAATGGAAAACTCTTCATAAATCTAATCTTTGGTGCATAAGGTCCTATATATACTCACACATACAAACATAAATGCATTTATTTAAGTTATTACAGTGATTTCAATATGATGCTTTAGATGCATAACTTATTATCAATAAGCTCACAGCGGCCAGTCTGTCTACAGCATATTCTCAGCAGACTTCATAATTTTTAAAATAAGCATTTAGAAAATTCAGAATTATTCCCACAATTGTTTGCTTCCACTGCCTTTGACTAGATAATACACAACAGGTATACTTAGTTGGCATTGGTAAGAATACATAATCATTTATACAGTGACTTACCTGTTCTATCTTCAAATAAGCTATAATCTGGTATGCTCTGATCACTTCATTATCACACTTAGTAATAAAATACAGTACAGATAAACTTTAATTTGGCTTGACACTTCAAACTAAAAAGTTGTAAAATATGTCTTTGAGTTTTAGTAGTTATGAAAAAATTGATCTCCAACTAGCAATGAAGTAATGCTTGATGTCATTAGAGGTCTATGTTTCTTGTCTGACAGATTTTAATAACATTTTATTTTTATTTCTAACGAGGTCTCAGGCAAAATTCACAAAAGTATCTCAATGGCTGTGCAGCCTAAGTATCACTGAAAGTCAATTTAACTTTCAATTCAATCTTATGAAAATTGAACTTAAAGAAAAATTGCCTCTCTATACTTGACCATAGAATGTGCATGCAAACCTGCCCTCTACTCCTTTTACACAGGACAAAAGTAGTAGTTAGATGAACGTAGCTTAATAAACATAAAGGTATTTAAATCAAGGCTTTCAACAATGTAAGGAGGTTTAATACAATTAAACTAAGATAACACTATTCTTCCAACCGATGGAAAGACCCCTGACTCATTTTCTGTGATCCTATATCATCCTATGGTATATTCCAATGGTTACTAGACCAGTATGGCTTCTGAATCATGATGGCTTAGATTAGTCTTGAACATGTTTAAATACAATGCACCTATCACTTGTCTTCTCTCTTTCTAAACTGAAGAACACCAGCTTGAAATATTCTGATGAACAGAACTGCAGATATATGCTTTGAAGTGTGCTCAACTAAAAAAGTTCGAAACTGTGTTGCAAACAGTATGCTATTTCTCACTCAGCTGTTAACCAGAAATAAAGACCTATTCATACAGTAAATTGGATCAGGGTAAATTATTAATAAATAAATAAATAAATAAATAAATAAATAGTCCTGTGCTTGTCTTTGTTTTATATTTGTTGTTTGTTTTGTTTATTTGTTTGTTTAGCTTTAAGGATGACATGCCTTTTTCACATGCAATTTGCAGAAAAACTAACTGTCAATTAAATCATTAAATTCTGTTATCACTCTTCCTTGATTCTGAAGTGTTTGGGCAAATTTTCTGAAATAAAAGATTTCCCACTTCTGTTCCTCAGCAGAGAATTCAGTTGTCAGGTTTTTGTTTTTGTTTTTGTTTTTGTTTTTGTTTCTCCTGAAAATATGATAGAATAGTATATTTCAGTCATTGACAGTCTCTACATATTTTTGTAAACACATGTAGCCACTCAACTGTACTGCACTTGGAGAGAAAATTCAGTAAAATTTGTCTGCATTTATCTCTGGATTTTGAAAACATGACAGAGCTCATTTCTATGCAGTAGTGACAGTGTCTTCAAAATCCTCATAGACTGTTTGTCATATTTTTACTTTTCTTCATTTCTTCATCATGAAAAAAAAGGGAAAAAAGAAAATAAAAAATATAGATTTCAAAACAACACACACATAAACACACAAACAACTAGAGAAAAAAAAAAAAAAAAAAAAAACAGTGCATAATACAAAAGACATCATACATCAGTTATTTATTCCATTTGAATAAACAGATAGTTGTCTGAATAGTAAGAATTAGGAAATAATCTCACATGCATATTGAGCATAACACATAGTGTTCTTCATTAGAGTGTCCTAGAGGTCCCATAAATGAAGTTAAATATCAGTTAAGCATCTTTTGTTTACTCTCAAAATTAAAAAACTGTACTAAATTCGCTGTTACCAGTAGTCAATGTATACTAAATTCTCTTTCTTTTTTTTTTTCTTAACTACAAATATAGACGTTTTAGCTGCATGACTGCTTTAATTCTGCACTGTTGGAGATGCAGAGAGCTACTCCTGAAGGTGCAGCATGGAATTCCTCATCAGAGATAGTTCCTTCCTCTCTGGACCACCAGACACCTACTGAGCACTCCCCAGCTATTCACAGCAGCCACAGGCAGACATTTTCAGTGCACTGCTTAAACAGCCGTGCCTGATTGCAGATTCTCCGATCACACCCTCAGGAAAGATGCAATCTCGCAGCCCCATGCTGCCGAAACGGAGCTCAGCCAGCGAGCCCCTCTCTCGTCCCGCCCGCGCCTTCTGGATGAAGGGCAGCGCCTGCCATGTGCGCTCAGCACCGCGGACAGCGCTCGCCCCTCATCTTCACTACTACGGACAGCGCTCACCAGCCGCTATAAATGACACGAGAGTGAGGCGAGACACACGGACACGGACAGAGTCACAACAAGTGCATCCAGCCACAGCCCCTCCCACGCGGCCGCACACTCCCGGCCTCTGACAGACCAGCGCAGGCACGGCCGCGAGCACACGCTCCCACAACGACGGAGAGACGGCAACACAGCGCGAGCACGCGTGCACAAGCACGGGGGCCCCACGGAGCCGCAGGTGTGCGCACAGCCACACTGCGAGACACACGGGCACGCGCAGCGCACACCTGCACGCACGCTCTCCGCTGCACACAGGCGCACGCACACACAGCCCCTCTCTCTCGCCCCTCAGCCCCGCGCCCACCGCCCGGCGCCTCTCGCTGCTCACTAGCCAGTAGCGGCGCTGAACTCCGGAGCTGGCCCCGCCCGAGGGGCTTTTCCACCAATGGGAACAGCGCGGGGCCGTCCCTCTTCGCCCCGCCTCCCTTGTTAAGGCGGCCGGAGGGAGCGGGCCGCTCACTGGCAGGAGGGGGCCGGGACGTACGGCGGTGCCAGGCGCGGAGGGAGCCGCGCACTCCCCAGCCCCCGCCCCCCTGCGCGGCCGGGGGACGGCGGAGGCGGTGCCGGGGCGGGGAGCGCCCCCCGGGCAGGGGAGGCCGGGCCGGGCGACAGCTGCGAGCCGTGGGGCGCCGGGCGGGGCGGGCGCTGAGGAGGCAGCCGGCGGCCGCGCAGCCCGCCCCGGCTTGCCCAGGCGGCGCGGCCCTGAGGCAATGGAGCAGGAGAAGTACCTGCCCGAGCTGATGGCCGAGAAGGACAGCCTGGATCCCTCCTTTGTGCACGCCATGCGCCTTCTGGCCGACGGTAAGGCTCCGTTCCCGCCCGCCACCGTGCGTCTCTCTCCTCGTTCCCAGGCACCTTGCCCGGCAGCCGCCGGCTCGGGGCCGGCGCGGGGGCCACGCGTGGCCGTGGGTGCCGGGGTGCGCGTGGTGCGCGCAGGTCGCCGGCGCAGCGCTCGGACCGTGCGCCACAGCCCCGCACAGCGTCGTTCGGCCCGGGGCCACCTCGCGGGGCTGTGCGCGCCGTGCAGGAACGCTCGGATCTCGTGTAACTCATTGCAGCTCGCCTCTTGTACTCAAGCAGTAAGGTGCGTACTGTAATGATGTTACAGCGCTAGCAGAGCGCTGTTTCACTCTGCTTCGCTGTAGTGGGCATTGGCTGCTTATGAATTATTGGTTTCATGACACTGTTCCATCCAGGACACAATGATTTCCGCTTTGGTTTCTGTAGAGATCCGGAGTATGCTACCTGTAACGTTTTGCATTATGCTTAATTCTGAATTCTGTGCTCTTCACTTTAGTCAAACTGGTTTGGAGGATCTTCAGAAAGTTTGTGATTTATAATTTATGTGGTTACTGAATGTCGGCCCTGTGGTGCAGCACTTCAGCATGCATAGAAGTGTCATCCCCTAAGGCGCTTGCAACACTTCCCAGTTTCCTGTGAGGTGTGTGACACTCACTGTAAAAATTTCCATTACATTTAGAAAAAAAGTAGTGAAGATTGAAGCATGAATCAGGGCAAGCTATGGAGTTGGTAAGTGAGACCAAGGCAAAAAAGTGTATGGATGGGCCTGTGAGGAAGTTGCCAGTTCAAATTGCCCTCACTCAGGGAAGTGAATAATTTCTGAATTTCTATTATGTCTTAGGGGCAATCATAACTATTTAAAACTCATTATGTTAGCAGTAAGCATCTTTCCCTATGTCAGCAGCCCTTTATATCGTCTTCCTTAAATACCTGCTTTATTGATTGGGAGCAAATGTACTGAGTCCAGGTCTTGTCATAGCGCTCCTGCTTGGTCAGTTGGAAATTCAGGGTGAATAAAGACACACTCTATACATTTCTGTTATAGCTATCTCACTGCAGAAGAGGCAGCTGCACTGCTTGTTATGAGGTTGTTCTTTCTAATAAAAATAGAATGTATCTGTATTTCTCATAGGGGTGCATTTCTCGCACCTTGCAGTTTGATCTTTTCCCAGAGGGGGGAGTTATCTGCTGAGTGTATGCATGTGAGAGGCAGAAAAGGCACAAAGCATTGCTGAAAGTGTGCAGGGTAAACTTAAAAAACAAACAAACAAAACAGTGGGTATTTTTAGGAGTCAGATCTAGGTGGAAAATGTATGTAGGACAACTGAGATTGAGTAAATGATTAGTTTTCTTCTTCCCTCTATATAGCGAGGCCTAAGTATATGTGAATTTTTATAAGATGAAGGTGAGTTGTCTGTAGAAACTGTAGAGAATGCTAATGTCAGATTCACACCAGATACCTGGCTTTACCCTTTGTAACACCATCTGTCAAGCTTTCTAGAGATTTGTTTTGGAGACTGTCATTCAAACAGTTTCACTGAAGTAAGTGTATAAGTAGTTGAACCGAGAATGAAGGCACTGGATGCTGCTGGGTTATAAATAGGAGGGAAATGTGTAGAACTGGCAGAATTTGTTTCATATGCCAGAAGAAAACTGGTACAACCACCTCTGTAATGCTTTATTTCTAGGATATGTTGGCAATGAACTGATGACTCTGGATTTCTGTTCTTTGAGAAGCAGTACACAAGTAGCTGCATACACTGCAATCACAGCCAAGCGTTGCTTTTGTGGTATTCTAAGCTGTTCTGATTGTCATTAGATTTTGTGTAAAATATGGAAGTGTAGCTTTGGCTTTCAGAGTTGAGAGCCTCTAACTTTCGCTTTGACTTGAAAGTGCCGTGGTTTTTCATGTCAGCTGTTAGAATCTAGGTAGGGAGGCTGCCTGCTGTTGTGTAAAGCCACTGAAGGGCACACAGGCATTCCAGAAGTATGATTTCAACTTACGACACTGGTTTTCTTTGTAAAGAGCCAACTCTTTCTTTCCCTGTATTATTTTGTTTGCTTTGTTTTGTGTTTTGCTATGCTTAATTTAAAAATAAATTACAGATATTGTTAATATGTAGGTCTGTATCATGCTGGTAGACTTTTGTTGGGTGTGTATGTGAGTCAGTGGATGTTTACTTGTAACCCATGAAGGGTGTACAGATGTTTATTTTAGACACTTACTAGAGCCTTCATTGTATATGTATGATAAAGCACACGAAAAAATGTTTTCTGTGGCAGTAAATTTATGTATCTATCAGACAATATAACGAACCATGAGAAGGGATATTGGTTCTCCTAACATAGAGATTGTGAAGTTATAAACACAACTTGTCTAAAAATCGGAGGCAGCCCACGGTGGATGAAAATGACCCCAGTTTCTTAATGACTAAGTTAATGCCTTAATGAGAAGATACTTTATTCGCCCCTGGGTCATTACCTTTTTTATATAGGAAATAGCTCCTGTGTGATTACTTCATCATTAGAAATGGAAAAGCCATTTATAAGTTTTTTTATTAGGAGAACTTGTGAAGTGTGAATGGATGGTGATCATTTACCTCAGTTTGCATTAGTTTATTTGAACTTTTGCAAAAGGCATTGAGCGTTTATATTGATAGAATAATCTAGCCAGCAGTAAAACTGAAAGACATCTTTTAATGGGAACTGTTCGATGCAAATCTAAAGAATAGGTAAATCTCTAGTGGGTTTTTCTGTATTATCTGTACATTTTGTGAAGCAGGTTGTTGTATGTTCCTGCCTGAAAGAGATGGAAGAATCACACTTGTTTCATGGGTAGTTTTAAGTATGTTATTGTAAACTGGTTACAGATGGTTATTTTCTTAGGTGAGATTGTGCTGCTTCTGGTAATGAGATGGTTCCCTACATTGGATCAGGTAATATTTGTCCAGATGAGAGATGTCAAAGTACAGGGCGTTTTTCAGTAATACCTTTTGTGCAGAAATTGTTATGGTACAATCTCAGTCTCCAGCCAGAATTTAGATCCTTGCTGTTCTGGTGCTGTGTCCTCTTGTAGTCCCTAGCAAGTGACTGATAAATATTATTTTTGCATATGTTTGATTATTATTATTACTATTATGTATGTAAAGTAAGTGTATGACTTGAGCTGTGAAGATATGGGTACCAGAGAAATCTAGATCCTACAGAGTGACTTCGTGGTAATTAAAGGCTTCTGTTTTGTATTTTTATTTCTTTAATAAGACAAAGTATCTGTTTAATTGTCTATGTGTGCCTTGGGATAAAGAAGTCCTACTCTTGTATTTCTGGCTTTGAAATATCTTGCATAATATTAAAGCCAGCTCTGCTTTGTAATGCAGACATAAAGGAAAAAGCCCTATTGGAAAGAGCTGGCCGAAGTAAGAGCGTCTCTCCCTATGGAAATATCAGCATTACTTGGGTAATGAGGTAGCTAATTTCTCTCTGTGTGGTGACAGTACAACTGACCTCAGGTTTACAGTTGGCATTCTGAAGGCAAAGAGTCAAGCCTTTAACTTTAATCTTAAGTCCCTAGATAATAAAATGTGGCGTAGCATAAATTTGTTAATCCTCTAGTCATGTCAATTAAATTCATAGAGCTCAGTGTCATAAAGCTCTTTGTAGGACAAGCATAACTATTCAAAAGGTATATCATTACTTAGCCCTAATACTCAACTGACATTAGTACTGCCTTTTATTTAGCCTGCAAAAATTGTTCTAGCTGGTTTGAAAACTGCTGATGTAATGGAAACTCATTTTGTCTTATGTTCAACTAATATTTTTGGCTTATGTTGAACTTTGAATGTTTTGGACTCCTGGAGATGCATTTGCTTTTTATGTAGGAGGGCAGATTTTATTCGTAACTGCACATTCCTGTTAAAAACCTAGGGGCAGGAGTAAGGACACTTCATGTGAGCTAACTTGTCTTTGCAGTGTAGGAAATGAAGCTGATATCTGGCATCCAAGATGTGACATGCTGTTGATGAAACCTTTGACCTTCTGAAGTCAGCCCTCTGATACTTTTTATTCAGCTTTCCATAGCAAACTACTTGTGAAAAAATATTTACAAATTTATTGGTTTACTGTCTAAACAAGTCTTTGGATTAAAACAAGGCTAATGTAAAATGCTAATGTAAACTCATACATTAATATTAATCTGTGAGCAGGCAATTTTCTGTTTATTTTGTTTTTTTTTCTGATGTCATCAGGTGAGAAGAAATCTGTGTTCACATAATAGTTTGTATTAATCATCATTTACTTTGCTGTCCTGTGAAATAGTGTGAATAGCTGGAAGGTTGATTTGGGAAATGCGCTTAGAAATGTTTAGAGCTTGTATTTTAGGAATGCGAGTTTCATTAGAAGCTAGATTTATACAGCTATCATTTGGATCTTATTCAATAAAAAAGGATAATATCAGTGCAAACCACAGATGAATACCAGCTACTTACTTCTATAAAGCAGCAATGTGCTAGGTATCACAGATTTGATTCAAAACAGACTGAAGTTAATGGGAATCTTTCTGTTGCCATTAGCAGGCTATCTTGCAGTCCTTATGTGATATGTTGACTGATGCAGCTAATATGTATGGAATAATGAAAAAGGATACTCCATCACCAGAATGCACTGCTGACTTCAGAAATGAAGGTGTTCCAGACTTGCAGTGTTGTTTTCTTTTTTGAAAACATGAATAGTTATTTTACTGTGATATGACTGCCTGGTGTGTCTTCATAATCTTAAGTGCTTTTTCCTTGTGGAATGTCTTACATCTGAATAGCAGGGGATAGCTGGATTTGGGGAGAACAAAATAACATAAAATGTTAGGCTGAGTATAATAAAGTAACCTCTCCATGTTTTTATTGACCTGCAGTTGTTAGTCACAAAATCTGGGCTTTCTTAAGGGGTGGGTGGGGGGTGGAGATGTAATTTTAAAAAAATAATTAAAAAAATCTCTTCCTTTCAGAGAT